AATGTGACAGTCGTATTTCATGATACGACTCTAGCAGTTTAGCAAAGGATAAATCAGACCACTGACACTCGTGTAATTTACCGTAGGTCTGGACTTTGATCGGGCCCTTCAAACATGAGAAAACACCCAAAGGTTTTCTTCTGATAAAATAACCAACTCTCGTCTACTCTGAGAGCTTTCCCATCCTGGCAGAACTAAAGCTTCCACACAGCATGATACTGTCAACCTCGTGCTTCACAGTATTATCTTTTCATCATATATAGCACTTAGTATTTAAAAACAAAATGTATGTATGTATATATATATATTTTAGGGATGCATGATATAATCGGCCCCTTATCGGTATCAGCCTGTATCGGCCTTAAAACTGAATATCGGACATCGGCCACCCCACCGATATTTAACCCGATATTTGATCAGCTTCTGAGTTTCTAAAGTCTTTAAAAAAAATAAAAAAATACTACTACTTCTTCCTCAAAAACTTCTTTTTTACAGACTTAAAAACTTCTAAAGACGAGGGAAAAAATATTGATACATTAAAATATCACAATATCTTCATATGCTGATATATTGCCATTTAAAAACACCATATCAATCTCTTTTACTAATGAAATATTGCTATTTGTCATCGTTATGCTACGAAATACCCCGAAAATTCACGAAATGTTGCCATATTTTTATATGTTGATATATTGACGCGGTATCGATCTATTTTACTAACAAAATCTCACAAGAATTTGCAAAATATCACGAGAGTTTGTAACAGAACGATGAAATTTCACGAGATTTTGAAAGTAAAATAGATCGATACCGCGTTTTTAAAAATCAATTTGATATCAGCATATGAAAATATATTTGAGTTTATTATTTTTCAAAGTGTCAGAAATGGATAATAAAACTGCTATTTTCAATGACTACTTATTTTTGTCCAGCTTTAACATCGGTATCGATATCGGTTATCGGCCACATGAGTTTTAAAATATCGGCATATCGGATATCGGCCAAAATCCCAATATCGTGCATCCCTAGTATTAATTAAACATGGGTTAACTTGTCCCTATATATATATATATATATATATATATATATATATATATATATATATATATATATATATATATATACATACATACAGGGGTTGCCCTTCGGGCAAGTGACTTTCACATTTAATTTGCCCAGAAACAATTTTTATTTGCCCAGTATAATGTTTGATAAATATAGTTCCTAATATTCATTTGTGTATAAATATATATCTATGAAACATGTTTGTTTTTTAAATGTTTTTTTGTAATTCAGTAAGTTTCCAGGTTCCTGGTGTGTATCTCCATGCGTCAGATAATGAACTCAAGCCTACATTACCGTGTTAACATGCTTTTCAATCCTTCCTGCACATTCTTTTCTAACTAAACTTTGCTTTAAACTGTTGTGTGCTTGGAAAAATATAAATTGTAATGTTAAAAATCTAAAAAAAAAACTTTGCATTTAAATGCACCTCTCCAAAAATTTAATGACCTGCATCACTGTACAGAAGACTGGCATATGATAGAACTATTTACACTGTTCGCATACAGTTATTATTATTATTTTCCTAATCCCTGACTGATCATTTTTAATCTAGCGTGTATTATAGTATAGATTACATTCATCACCCAGCTGCTGCTCTGCAGAATTCTCTCCCCAAGAGCTGAATCACGCCATCTAGCGGAAAATCACGCAGCTAATTTTGAGTGATAAATACATTTTTTTTGCGATCATATATATATATATATATATATATATATATATATATATATATATATATATATATATATATATATATATATATATATACTGCAGCTTATCAACATTTACTACAGGCCCTTTGGCTATTCCTCCAATAAATGCTCTCCTTGCTAAGCCTGTCTTCTCAATTAAACAGCCATGTCTTTTAGGTTTATTCATTGATGACCTTTTATTAAATAGAATAAAATAAATAAAGATCAAAATCTCTTTTCCAAAAGGGACCTGTCAAGGCCATTAAAAAAAGTTCCAAAATGAATTTTAAAAATAAAATATACACTTATAATAAATGAAAACAGCACTGAAAAAAATAATGCAACCGTTTTTGGCATTTATTTATCATATTTAGTTATTTTAACACAATTGTTTAGTGTTAGCAGTGGAGGACATAAAACAATTGTGTTAAAGTAATTAAATATGATTAAGTAAATTTCTACTGGCCCTTCGATGATATTTTAAAAGCGTCTTAAATCCCCCAACAGTCAGCAGCATGGCCAGTTTCAGATCCGTTTAGACTTCATTCAAAGCAAAGAGGGGGACATACAGGTGCTGGTCATAAAATTAGAATATCATGAAAAAGTAGATTGATTTCAGTAATTCCATTTAAAAAGTGAAACTTGTATATTATATTCATACATTACATACAAACTCATATATTTCAGATGTTTATTTTGTTTAATTTTGATGATTACAAATGACAACAAATGAAAATCTCAAATTCATCATATCAGAAAATTAGAATATTACTGAAGACCAATAAAAACAAAGGATTTATAGAAATGTTGGCCAACTGAAAAGTATGAACATGAAAAGTATGAGCATGTACAGCACTCAGTATTTAGTTGGGCCTCCTTTGGCCTGTATTACTGCAGCAATGCGGCGTGGCATGGAGTCGATCAGTCTGTGGCACTGCTCAGGTGTTATGATAGCCCAGGTTGCTCTAATAGTGGCTTTTAGCTCTTCTGAATTGTTGGGTCTGGTGTATTGCATCTTCTTCTTCACAATACCCCATAGATTTTCTATGGGGTTAAGGTCAGGAGAGTTTGCTGGCCAATTAAGAACAGGGATACCATGGTCCTTCAACCAGGTACTGGTAGCTTTGGCACTGTGTGCAGGTGCCAAGTCCTGTTGGAAAATGAAATCTGCATCTCCAAAAAGTTGGTCAGCTGCAGGAAGCATGAAGTGCTCTAAAACTTCCTGGTATGTGGCTGCGTTGACCCTGGACCTCAGAAAACACAATGGACCAACACCAGCAGATGACATGGCACCCCAAACCATCACTGACTGTGGAAACTTTACACTGGACTTCAAGCAACGTGGATGAAGTGCCTCTCTTCTTTTCCTCCAGACTCTGGGACCTTGATTTCCAAAGGAAATGCAAAATTTACTTTCATCAGAGAAGATGAGTTTGGACCACTCACCAGCAGTCCAGTCCTGTTTCTCTTTAGCCCAGGCAAGACGCTTCTGACGCTGTCTGTGGTTCAAGAGTGGCTTGACACAAGGAATGCGACAGCAGAAACCCATGTCTTTCATACGTCTGTGTGTGGTGGTTCTTGAAGCACTCACTCCAGCTGCAGTCCACTCTTTGTGAATCTCCCCCACATTTTTGAAGGGGTTTTGTTTCACAATCCTCTCCAGGGTGCGGTTATCTCTCTTGCTTGTACACTTTTTTCGACCACATCTTTTCCTTCCCTTCGCCTCTCTATTAATGTGCTTGGACACTGAGCTCTGTGAACAGCCAGCCTCTTTAGCGATGACCTTTTGTGTCTTGCCCTCCTTGTGCAAGGTGTCGATGGTCGTCTTTTGGACAACTGTCAAGTCAGCAGTCTTCCCCATGATTGTGTAGCCTATAGAACTAGACTGAAAGACCATTTAAAGGCTTTTGCAGGTGGTTTGAGTTAATTAGCTGATTAGAGTGTGGCACCAGGGGCCATCAATTTTGAACCTTTTCACAATATTCTAATTTTCTGATATGATGAATTTGAGATTTTCATTTGTTGTCATTTGTAATCATCAAAATTAAACAAAATAAACATCTGAAATATATGAGTTTGTATGTAATGTATGAATATAATATACAAGTTTCACTTTTTAAATGGAATTACTGAAATCAATCTACTTTTTCATGATATTCTAATTTTATGACCAGCACCTGTATTTAAAAGCTCTCTTCCTAAGTTAACTGTTTCATGTTAATTTTATCTTAGATGATGGCTTAAAGTAGAGGTAGAGCAGTTGTACTGGCATCGGCTGTTTTCTGTGATTCATTGGTGCATTCGGCAGCCTTGTCTTGAGATTATGTGAAGTTCAGGGATTGCATCTCCCTCCATTTGTTATCCAATCCTAATGTTTTGCTTTTGTTGCTTAATTTTTATCTATTTTTTTCGTTTAAGATAAGACGTGTAAGATTTAGTAATCATGCCATATCAGCCTAAAAAATTGGCAGCAAATATCAGCCGTCTTTTAGATTTATGCCAAAATAATGAAATATTCGTCAAATAACCAATTTTTAAGGGTTGATCTCTAGAGTGACAGTTCTAGTTAAAAGTTTGGGAAATTGTTTTCTAACTTAACTCTGCTTTTAACGGCTCCACATCTTCCTTCCTGAACTCCTCCTACTGATGAAGCTTCAATGTTTTCATAGGACAGCAGCATTTGTTTGAGACTAACTTAAAAATTAAAAACAATTGGTAGCTTTGAATTTTATTTAAGGGTATCAGAGCGAAGGGGAATTAAAACATAAGCTTTTTCATTAGAAAATATTAAGTCGAAAACAAACTTTTTCCATCCACTCTACATCGATGCGCTGGATTTGTAGATTTGTCATAAAAACTCTATATAAAACACAATTAACTTTATAAATATTTAATAAAAATCTCTTTATTTCTTGTTTTTTGTTTCGGCGTCACCTGACTGAATTAATGACTGCTAATTATATAACATAAATCAATTTTAAATCAACATCAGCCAAACTTCACACGTTTTTAGCTAGTTAGATTTTCCTGCATAATTAGAATTTCAGTTTTACTTGTTTTTCTCTCTAATTTAGATAAGTATATCCAATATTTTCAGGAGAACTTTGACACCACCTCATAATGCAGCAGGAATTTGGAAATTTAACTAAATCAACCCAATTTGCAACTGGAGCCGTTTCTTTCTTCTAAAACAGATATAAATGCGAGACATAGATGAAGACGACAGACAGGGAAAAAGACACCAACCTGTCTGTTCCTCTCATCCACAATGCGGGTGATCTGAATCTTCTTCCTCCCCATGGCTGAAACAAACTCCACTAACAGCCGAAGAGGAACACCAGTGGGCTCAAGGTGGTTAAAAATTCAACAGGCACTCCTTAACACATAGTCCCAACGTCAGCTGCTGTTATGCTGCCATCAGCTCGCCATGGCCTGCTGAGAGAGACAGTCAGAGTCAGACGGTTCCAGCACATGTTCATCTTATGATGAATTTACCAGACTATCATCAGCTAACAGGGTCAGACACATTTATTCAAGGCAGAAAAGCTCATGATAGTTATAGTTTGGATGGAATGTTGTTACTCAGTATTTAGTCACAGTAAAATAAAATAAAACAGCTTCTTCTCATTACATAGGAGGAATCTTTCACACCGGAAAGCAGAGCATTCAAAGGAACTCTGTAAGGACTGAGCATGCAAAACATTTCCATTTCTTTTTGTTCGGCTATAAATTTGCAACCACTAGATTTTGCGTTAAACAAAGCAGCAACATGAGAAAATGAGCAAACACATTAGGAGAAGAAACCCAACATTTGTTTGCCTACTGCATGTCAAACCTCACACTCTAAACGCTCCTCCGTTTGCAGGAAGCATTCAGATCCATCATCCCGGCTTCAGCCCTGTCTGCTCTCTGCTGCTTTCTCCTCCTGCAGCAGCGCCCACCTGCTCTGCTGCGTTCCTCCTCTCCTCAGGCTCTGCCTTCCCCCCCCCAAAGAGCTCCTTAACACATTCCCTAATCTCATCTGATCCGGGAGGAGGCACAGAGTGAGATGAAGCCAAGCTTAAGTCTAACCCTTTCCTGGACGTCTGCAGACCATCAAGCCATTCAACTGAGACATCCCACATTCCTACTTTCAGAGATGGAACTAATGTGATGGTCCTTCATCAAATCATCACCGTTTTACCACTATTTGCTGATTTGCATGGAGTTTATGTTCTATGGAAGGTATTAAAGCAGAGTTGCAGTTACTTAAATGCCATGAAAATAATCAAAATGAGATAATTTATGATGCATCCTCTCTTATATTTGCCAATGAATCTCTAAGCATGCTGCTGTTTGATTCCATTTCTGTGATTAGTTAATACCCTCCATGTTTTTATTATTTCTTTGTTTATTATAATGCATTATTGGGATTTGCATATTTGGTTTGTGAGATCCTGCAGCATTCAGCTGAACCCAGAAGCCCTAACCTGGCACATCAGCTCTGAGCACAAAGGCTCCTTACATATTAGGGATTTAGAGATCACGAGGATTCATGTTTCTTTTTTTTTTTTTTACAATCTGGATGATTAGATGGCGAGATCAAAACATTTAGAAGGAGAGTGCAAAATAAATTTCCTTTATCTATTATATCATCCAACCCTGCTGCACTTCCTTCCCTGTGTGCTTGGTGAGATGATATCTTGGAGTCCCTGCTGGAGAAAGAAAGACTACTTTGTATCACTCTGATGCGGTGTGACAATCTCTGAAACACAAACGGCCCTTTCAGCTGATATTATTGCAGTAATCTGCTAAACATTAGACTGTAAACTTAATCTCAGGCGGTTTAATACAGAGAGGAGGGAAAGAGTTTTGCAAAGGTATTCAAACATCTACAAATTACTCACATTATGCCAGATTAGAACCTAGATCTTAATAGAATAGAAAATCTATTTATTTTCCAACAATGGAGAAATTTTTTGTGATTACAGCACAAGAAATTGTTAAACACTTATGTATAAGAATAACATAATAGTGAAGAGTTAAAAGATAAACAATAAAATTCTGTACTGTACTGTAAAATGTTTTTACATAATTTTAATGTAATAAACAAAAACAAAGTTCTGATCTTTCTAAAAGAAGGGAAAACATTACGTATTAACACTGTTATATTGCTTTATTATGATATTATTATACATATTGTGAGCAGTGATGGGAGTAGCTACCTTTTTTTAGTAACGAGTAATCAAAATGATTACTCTTACTGTAACTATAACGCAGTTACAATTGCCGACACCCCGTTACTGCACGTTACTCAGGTCGCACAATTAATCTTTTTTCATGATAGGACTCGTGCGCGCGTCATGAGAGAGGGGAGGATGGAGAGTGAGGAGGACTCCAGCAGCAAAACAGCACTTAGGCTACGTTCACACTGCAGGCCTTAATGCTCAATTCCGATTTTTTTTGTGAAATCGGATTTTTTTGCGTGTCCGTTCACACTTCCAAGTATATGCGACTTGTATGTGATCTACTGTGTGAACTGAAAGCGTTCACACAGTAGAAGTGTCCCGCATGCGCACTCGAGGACGCGATGACGTCACATGTAGCAAGCGTCCTCAGTGTTTGCGGAAGTAAACATGACTCGTAATACCGCAGCGTATATTGCGTTCTTTAAGTTCTTCTCCAACAGGAGCAGGCACATTACGAACAAAATCTTTTTAAGAAGATCAAAAAGAAAGAGAGCCAGGTTCCGGTAAGACCCTTCGAGTTTGGTCTGAATCGAGCTATCTTTCCAAATATGAATTAAGTCAGCAACCTCACTTTCTCTCCATTGACTGCTCTCTGTGTTATCTTCCGCCATGGTTGTTAGTTTTTCCCGCCTCCGCTTAGTAGGACGCAGATTAGTAACGTTTAGTAACATTTGTCAAGTATCAATGACGTGTAGGTCGGATGAATGCGACCTGGCCGTACAGACAGAGGTCGCATTTGAAAAGATCAGATACGTGTCGTTCAGACTGTCATAAAAAGATCAGATACAGGTCACATATGGCCAAAAAATTTGGAATTGTGTCACTTCAGGCTGCAGTGTGAACGTAGCCTTAGATGGAAATACTGCTGTTACGTCGAGCTGCGTTTCCCCATCAGATACGGTTTCTCCTGCATCTCCGCACAGCGCGGCGGCACGATTCACGGCGCAAGCGACAGGAAGCGCGCATGCTCGCGCCACAGGAGAACTATGGAGAGCGTGAACGATCAAATGATAGCCTAAATGGAGAAAGAGAGAAATATTGATGGATGGATGGATGGATGGATGGATGGATGGATGGATGGATGGATGGATGGATGGATGGATGGATGGATGGATGGATGGATGGATGGATGGATGGATGGATGGATGGATGGATGGATGGATGGATGGATGGATGGAGCTACATGTTGCAGTATCTATAACAACCCAAACACAGGATTTCAGAATTAGACATCCCCAGTTATTAATTTCATACACTCACAAAAGTAACGCAATAGTTACTTTTATTACTAACTAGTTACTTTTATTGTGGAGTAACTCAGTTACTAACTCAGTTACTTTTTGGGAGAAGTAACTAGTAACTATAACTAATTAAATTTTCAAACTAACGGGTCCGAGCTTTTGATAAAACCATGACAGTCAGAAATGTAGCCATTCATTAACTTACTTATCTCCAGTTTGGGATATAAAGTAGACTCATTAATCCCAATATGCACCATATTGTGGAGTTCTTAAAAAAATGTTTGAGAAACCTTTAGTCTGGTGGTAACAGGAGAGCATTTTCTTCCTAAGACTTTAAAAAAAGTAATATAAGTCTGATCTGTCAATCCTAGGCTGGAATACTCTTCACTGGTTAAAAGTTCTTTAAAACACACTTTGAAATGTTTCTGATATTTCTAAAGAAAAAAATATTCAATGCTTCTTCCCACAAATATCACTAAATTCTCATATTGTCTTGTTTTTGTGTGAATCTAGTTTAATGTCTCACCTCATCTTTATAGTTGAGTGTTAAAAAAACAAAAACTTAGTATAAAATTCAAATATTCATATACTAAATAAAAAAAAAAATTAGTATATTAAAAGGATGAATCGATGCACAATTGTTTACATCTGATTCAATTCCTATACCTTAGTTTGAATATGTGCTTCCTGAAACATTCTGATCCCACAGTTCTCATGATTTCTCAGTCATAAAATCCTCTCCACAAGCAAGTATATGTATGAATAAACACGTGCACATCCCAAAAGGCAGCTTGATATTAGTGTGAGGTCAGAAAGGAAAACATAAAAACAATGAATGATGTTAAAAGGACCAAAGTAGTAGGCATTCAATATTTCCTCGCTTTCCTTGATGGGCGGATCCTTGGTTGGTCCTTGGCTGGTCCCCTACAATTCCTTTTAAACATCAATGTTTGTAGTAAAATATTGTTTCTGTCATGATTTGTGGGCATTGAGATCTAAAGAGAAGAATCATCTTTTGGTCAGACCGTGTAATTCAGTGAAAGGTGGATTTTCGCTGGGAGTTGGGGGGAAGTGAGCTGCCATTCGGCTGGTGTTTGACTGGAAAGGGCCATTTGGAATGGCTACTACCGTAATTCCATCTTAAAAACAAAAACGTATCTGTTAGGGCTAAAATTAACTTAATGAATTAAATCAAAAAGAAGTGGAAGAGTTTTCTGATTTTTAAGAGATGTTTAAGCTAACTTAGATTTCTTAGACAAGAGCAGACTTCAGCATGTCATCCGGTCTGCAGAGAAGGTGATTGGCTGCAATCTCCCATCTCTCCAGGAGCTGTACGCCTCCAGGACTCTGAGGCGTGCAGGGAAGATTGTGGCTGATCCCTCGCACCCCAGTCACAGATTTTTTCTTCCCTCTGGCAGGAGGCTGCGGTCCATCAGGACCAGAACCTCCCGTCACAAAAACAGTTTTTTCCCATCTGCTACCGGCCTTATCAACAAGGCCAAGAGCCGCCCGTGACACCGGACAATGTTTCTCTACCCCATTCAGGATTTCTGCATTACATTAAAGCACAGTCTACTGTGTGTATATAGCTTCTGTGTTAATATATATATATTCTATCTTATTTTGTTTTTTGTCTGCACCAACAACACCATGTGAAATTCCTTGTAAGTGCAAACCTACTTGGCAATAAACTTGATTCTGATTCTGATTATAGAAATAGACGAACAGATCTGCCCCTTTGGAATGGACCCAATCTGAATTCTATTTAAATATCGGGCCAATACAGTTATTAATATTAGAACGCTCCCTCTGTAATATCAAGCAGATGTGTCATATCTATGCATCTAAATGGGGAATTGATCAAAATCACTGATTCATTCTGGATCTTCATCAACATCTTTATCATTCTTGGCTAATCTAGCTTCAGCATCAGTGAGATCAGATTAAATGCAGATTACAAAGAGTTATCCTCAACAATTTTCCAACAGAAGAAACAAAACAAACAATGATTACCTTACAGTCTCACCATGCCGTAATCAAAGGGAGGACCAGCTGTTTAAGCAGAGAATAATGAAACACAAACGAGACATTGATAACTGAACTCCTCCAAACAGCCAGCTTCCTGTTAACGCAGTCTACTACATCACTTCCTGTGTTGTGAACTGTATGACTCTCTAGTAGCGCTGATATCATCTGTCCAACCACAAGGCCCAACACACCACCCAGATAACATTGTCTACCTCAGCTGTGCATCATGTGTTGCAGCTAACAGTCACCGAGCGTGAAGGCAACACATCAAACCAACCAGAAGCAACCGATGACATCCTGAGCGTAACATTTGCAGCTGCATCAATAAGTGCTCAACATAAAATAAATACCATAGTTATACAGAGCCCTCCACCAGCTTTAGACAGATACATCCTTCTAGAGTATACCTTGTCAGTTTGGTCATAATTGGCTCCATTTTCCACCAATATATCCTGTTTATCACTGCACCATGTAACAATCTGTGGTGGCAGATTACACCTGCAGTGACAGATGCTGTATTTTCTTTCTTAAGTTGGG